CACACGACCGATTTCACGGTTCTTGCCGCTCGTCAAGCATGCCTATCCGGTAATCTTTTGTCAGTTCATTCACATACGTCCACCCAGGAAGGGGATTTTCGTCACAATAACCTTATTTGCAACACCGGGTGATTTTTGGATAGACAACTCTTTGAGAACCAATCCATTGAAGAGTCAATGCTATGATTCGATGTTTTATAGGTGGGTTAGGTGCCACTAACTACAACAAACATGACCGTGCGAGCTATACAGGATGACTCCTCACTGCCGCAGATCTAATCATGCCTGAAAGGTCTATGGGTGGGGGCCATACGAAAAACACTCTCAGGAGGCCAGCAATTTTGGCACCTTCTGGCTTTCGAAAGCCTCAGTATGGTGGGGGGCGGGTGTCAAGGATCGCGGTTGGTCGCCCGTCCCTTTCACCTCGCGAAATGCTTCCATACGACCAAGTGTCTCGAATAGCATCTGCTACGAAAGCCCTACTCACTGCCTTCTCGTGGCGGTGGGGTTTTCCCACCAAAGTGAGAGGACGAAGAGCCGACATCCGGGGCCATAACCGGGTTGGCGAACCATTGGTAGTTCACCTAGGGGAGTTGGTCAAAAACCCTGATTCCAAACCAACCGTGAGGAGACGTTCGAACCACAAACACAACTTTCAGGTTGTGGCAGTGGTCACCGGCTCGATTGGGCATCGAGGTGTATTGAGCACCTTGGACGTTTGACTCCTTCCAAAGGGCGTATAATCGGATGAACTGGACACCGACCCCCAATGGGTTACGGTTTTCACACACCACCCCGCTGCCTTGTGGGTCAGGCTTTGGCTAGCCAAAGGCTCCGGTTGTGACTTCCTCAAGAAAATTCACGTGCATTCATCTGGACAATCTGGCAGTATTCATCCCACATGCATATAATGGAACGTTTTTCTTGTTTTTTTTCCCCCTAAAGATTGTTATACCACAATTTGTTTGGCACATAGTTTGGATTCAGACTTCTGTGAAATATAATGTATAACAGGAATAACAACAATTTTGTGTGTCTCAGACGTGTTTGCCAAATTCCTTTATCTGTTCAAATTGACAATATGTGTGATTCCTATATTAATGCGTGTTTGAAGTTTGTTGATAGTATTCTCTCTGATTGCACCGATCCTTTACACACTGACTTGTGTGCATACAAATGCCACCCGTTCCATATGCAAACTCATCCCATCCCGGATATCTGCCTACAGAAACACTTTGGTACCCTATCTTGCCTGATGCTGACCTGCAGGAAGAGTTCTTTCTAAGCTTTTTAATGCATTTAATAGTTAATCCACACTTACACGCTTGGTATCCCACTTTTACACCTTTGCAGCAGTTCGGTCAGTGCTGCTATCCCCTGAGGAAACTTGGCGATTACGGGAACAGTACAAAAATTGACTATCGGTGTTCAAACACCGCTGCCTACACCGAGTTTGACGAGTCTGGTGGGGAACCGGACGAGCAGTGCTGAGGTTAGGTGTAGAGTTTTAGTTAATTGTGGTCGTCCACTGTTGCAGGTAGTCGACATCCATAGATTACGTTGGTTTGTTGTGTTATGCATGTCACCAAATGGGTTACCACAGTGCGCGATGTTTACCGAGGCAGATAGGGGTTTGAAAAAAGGGCAGTCAAACTAAGACCTCGCTTTACCCGCTTCCTTGCGGTCAGATTTTTCTCAGAACTAAAGGCTTTGGACGAGAACCCTAATCGTTCTGCTGCTTAGTGGCTGAACACCCTGGCAGTACCCGTCCATCAAACTCAAATGGTGGTGGTGGCGCAGTGGTTTAGTCGCTGTCACCGGTATGCTTTAGACCCTATGGTCCGAGGTTCGAGCCCCGCCACCCGACTTTGGTGGGAGGCAGCTCTGCTGTCGTCCGGTTCAATACCACGCCTAACCTATCGGGGCCTTATGTGGTTCGCCACTCCAAGTTCTGGGGCTTAGGTTGCCGATTTCAACCACTGAACATCAGGTCCTCGTGACTATGGGGTTTACCCCGTCCGTAGTTCATCACACCTAGGTGTGTAATAAAAAAAATGCATACACAACCAAAAATAGTTCCATACTGCATCGGTTGTCGCGCAGGTTAATCATGTCCGCGCTGCCCACTGCATCCAGCGGGGTGGGTAGTGACAACTGGGCTACTACTCAGATATCCCAACCTATGTTTAACTCTTCTGTACCCAACCCTCTCCTTTTACCATTTCTTCCAACCCGTAACATTCCTTCAGACCACTTGTTCGTTACTCGCCAAAGTTCGTTACCAAGTAGCTCGGTAAGTGGTTTACGACAAAATAGATTGCATATTCTGAAGCCTCGTCAGCCACTGGATCTGGGGGCCTTCAACGTGAGGACTCTCATGCAGGTAGATCAACAAGCATGTCTGGCGCGTACAATGGACTCTTTGGAAATGGATGTCTGCTGCGTATCGGAGACTCAAATTCAGGATCCTAGTACTATATGCCACTTAAGTACATCGGGGTTGTCTTCGAAGTTCTTCCTCCGCACGTCAGGTGATAACGAAGCCCCTTTAGTAGGCCAGCGCGGTGTGCGCTTTGTACTGAATAATACAACCGAAGTCGCACTACTCGATGGGATCCCCATCAACAGCCGCTTATGTGCGATGCGGCTCCAGGGATCTATCAGCGTCCGGAGGGGAAGCAACACCAAAAGGTGTTTGTTCATCATTTCAGCGTCTGCTCCGACCAACTGCAGTTCTGGCGCACAAAAGGACGAGTTTTATGATAAACTCACTGAACTCATTCGGTTGAGTCGAAGCTCCAATATAGTTGTTCTCTCAGGTGGTTTTAACGCTCAAGTTGGAAAACTGAGCACATCGGAAGCTTGCCTAGGCGGAAATTGTGCTCTGCCCTGTCAACGAACAGATAACGCCGATCGACTTCTTCAGTTCTTCGCGGGTTATCATCTGTTCCTATCTAGCACCAACTTCCGACACAGCTCTTAACGGACAGCAACGTGGCGCTCAAATTCAACTGGCACGCTAACTCAGATCGACCACATAGCAGTGAGCTACCGTTGGCGTGGCTCTGTACAAAACTGCAGGTCACATTGGACCACCTGCGTTGAATCTGATCATGCGTTAGTTTTGATTCAGTTCACTATCCAACTCAGTGGTCGCAGAAAATTCCACCAAACTCGATTGGTAGATCATCGCTTATCTGACCCAGCCGTTCGTGCCCGTTTTGAATCAGAACTAGGGTAAGAGTTAACCGCACTGCGGGGTGGTAGTGTAAATGAACAATAGGATCAGATTAATCGAGCAATGCACTCCGCAGCGAACGTTGTTTGTGGCTCTGAAGCAGTAGCCCGCCTGAGACAGTAGATATCTGATGAGTCATTAGCACTGATGGAGAAAAAAACGACAAATCCTGACCTGTCAGGGTCAAAATAGAGTTATCCGGCATTTGCAGCGTCAGCTCACGAGCAGCCTCAAGAAGGACCGTGAGAATTGGTGGACAACAATAGCTAGTGAAACGGAAGTAGCAGTCGCATCAGAGAAAAGTCAAACTGTTCCGACTGATACGCAATACGGGAGGTCGGCGAAATCCAGTAAGTGAAACAATCTGCGACAAAAATGGGCAAGCTATCCACGACGGGGGTCAACGACTTGATCGCTGGGCAGAATACCTCAGCGAACAGTTCAGATGCCCAGTCGCTAACCAGGCTATCTCCCTCGATGTAGCTGAGGCTCCATGGGCAGTGTCATCTGAACCTCCTACTGCAGGAGATGTTAGTTCTTGCATCCAACCCCTGAAGAAAGGAAAAGCAACAGGGCCAGACCTGCTTCCTCCTACTCTTTTCAAGATGCGTGGGGAGGGGGAGGGGGGGGCAACGACCTCGTAGACTCCATTACTGATTTAATGCGTAACATCTTGTTACACGAGTGCATTCCATCATCATGGAGCGAATCACTGATCGTTCTAATTTTTAAGAAGGGATCTCGCAATGACTGNGAAATCCAGTAAGTGAAACAATCTGCGACAAAAATGGGCAAGCTATCCACGACGGGGGTCAACGACTTGATCGCTGGGCAGAATACCTCAGCGAACAGTTCAGATGCTCAGTCGCTAACCGCACAAGTGTGTGTGTGTGGGTGTGTGTGTGTGATAAAAAATGACAATCGACCTTTCCGTATGCTTGCCGACACTCCGTGATGCGTTCGCCAGGTGAGATATAGCTGCACAAATAACAAAATTCACCTACCTCCTCAGAAAGAGAAACGTTGGGGACTGGGCTAACTCAGTCATGTAGCAACATTTGACACTATGAAGATGCAAAACGGATACCGAATATCGCTACATTAGCACTCAAACCGTCGAGAAAAACTTGCAACTTACCTGGATCTCCACTTAGCGGCACACTATCATCTGCATCCTCTAGAACACTCTACCACGTGGGAGCAAATCAGGGGGCCACTACCCTTGAACGTGGACAGGGCTATGTGCAGAATGCAACATATAACGAAGTTAAATAGAACCGAAAGGAGAGGACAACCCTAACAAACATCATTTTCTGTGGAAACCAAAGCAAACAAAAGTAATTCACTCCTTTGAACTTAACATATCGAATTCTGTACGAAAACAGATGCGCTGGTTATCCCGCCTACGTATTTCCGGCATGGCAACTGTCGACCGTGGTGAGTTTGTATTAAATAGACGTTTCTAAGCGACGGTTGTGTAACATCATGGTGAATGTGGATACATGATCACGTAATTTTCAATTATCTTCAAAGAACAAAGACGACAGTACAGACCATTGTCAACTATGGTGCGCTATGAGAGGCTTACTAATATTGAGATATTGACAAATACCGCCTTTCGTGAGATCAGTTGCAGCAAATATGAGATAGCCAGATAGTTGATATCCATCTGGACGCGATGTGATGCGAAAACATTTACCTTATTTTGCAGTCTAGAAAAAGCTCTGAGAAAAAGATAGGCGCATGTGACAATGCATGGTTTTCAACTCTGTAACTCATGCATCAGGGTATAAAAATGCTGCTGGGCTGGACGTTTTGGTGCGAACGATAGAACGGACACTAAACTGTCCTCTGGATGAAATACAAGGTGAAAAGGGTGATAGATTTGAAGAATTTAGTCAGAAAAACGGTTACTTTGGTTTGAAACTTGCGCAGAATGGAAAAATGAAGGAAACTGCTACTGGTATGATCTGCTGGAAGAAAAGAAATACTACAATAAACGTACCAACGATGAAAAATCTGTCATAGTATGCCGTGCCTTCTCCAGCAACCGCCCAACTGAACTCGTTATACAAAGTCGAGTGCAAGATTCACATGCATATGACGGTACACTGGAGATACCTAATACCATGACCATAAAATGATCATACTGAGACCACTTACCAGCATGGGTGTTACCATTGCCCACAAACCTATGACACTGTGGTCCATTTTTTAAAGCGACAATTACCACGCAGAACCACATGATCAATCGGGGGGAGGCGTACACCAATCAATGCCTAGACTATAACAAACGGTGTATCGAAGAGATAAGCAGTTCGGTTCAGTTAAGTTCTTACACCGATGTTTAGAGACACTGAATGATATGGCTAGGTGTCGCAAACAGTGGCGCTCGTGCATCCACTCATTATTCCCCTATCACTATTCTATATGAATTCTCCATCTTTCGCTTGAATTTGCTTTCAACATTCCAATCTTCATTCTACTCTTTTATCCAAGTGGGGCACCAAAAGACAACAATCAAAACTGGTGCACGAAAGTGCATGGTTAATGGTTGTAAAAACTGAAACTGAATTATTTATCTACCACTTTTTGCGGTCATTGCCCAGGCTCTTGCTTCGCTGGAATTAAAGAGATTCGCGAGTTGTGTCAAATTTGACATCTGCAAGCGTCCAGCAAAGCAACCGAAGTCGAGATCCATCGTTTCAGCTTCGATTGTGCGTCAGAATACGCCGTTGTTTTGGTAGATATTAGGATCGCTTATTTGCTCGCCGTCCAGTGTTCGCTGAGTCTTTTGGATGATAGTTAAGCAGAAAGGCGATTGGATAGTTCCGCTTCGAAAGTTGATTCGTAACCAAACTGTCTACCGATCCCGTCTTGTGGATTGAGTATTTCGGTCGAGGGAAACACTTCAAGTGTCATATTTTCCCATGTCTTCTTTGCCCTATCCAAACCTCGTGACGTGTCGTTGAGCAGTGGTTCCAAAGGTGTGACTTCGGGGCAGCGCATCGTATTGTGTTTCTGTAGGCGAGTATACAGTTTTTTGCTTAGCTCTCAGTCGACCGCTCTAAACTCTGGCACTGCCTTTTTCTGAAGGGTGTACCCGATAAGTTTATTTCAATATTACAATCCCTCTATAATAATAACCGAAGCCGAGTCGGAGCTTATGGCACTTTTTCACCCAAGTTCACTACAGAAAGTGGTGTCCGACAGGGTTGCCCTCTCTCTCCGTTTTTATTTAACTTTGTCATAGATTTAATTCTTGAAACAGCCCTGTCCTCGTTCAGGGATAGCGGTATCGATTTACTTCGGGTGGCAGACTGTCTGATCTAGAGTATGCAGACGACATTGTGCCACTAAGTGAAGATCCAGGTAAGTTGCAAGCTTTTCTGGATACTTTGAATGCTAGTGTAGCCATGTTCGGTATGTGTTTGCATCTTCAAAATGTGAAATACCGTTTCAAGACTGGGTTGGCCCAGTCCCCAACCTCACCCTAACCGGGGAAGTTGTGGAGAGAGTAGATAAATTTTGCAATCTGGGCAGCTTCATCTCACCCGGCGGACGCGTCACAGATGAAGTGTCGGCGCGCATACAGAAGGCTCAGTTGGTATTCGCCATCTTAGGCATCTGCAGCGCCGTCGCGACATCCGGCTGTCTGTGAAGGGTCAAGTATATGCTGCAGCAGTTCGGGCAGCTCTGATTTACGGTGCAGAGACTTGGCCACAAGGGCAACAGGATGAAAATAGATTGTCGGTGTTGGAACACCGCTGTCTATGCTGCATTGCACGAGGCTGGTGGGGAAACCGAATGAGTAATGTTGAGGTTAGGCGTAGAGCTTTAGTTGATTGCAGTCGTTCACTGTAACAAGTGATCGACCTCCATAGATTACACTAGTTGCGGCTTGTGCTGCGNCGATGTTTGCCGAGGCAGATAGCGGTTGGAAAAAGGTCAAAGGCGGTCAAACCAAGACTTGGCATGAGGGTATGAAAACCCCAACGACGACAATGGGTCACATATGTCCCGTTAGGCTTCCTGGCTGGGGACGGCGAGATCATGGTAACCGATGATTAGAGACTATGAGTGATATGTTTGGTGGTCGTAAACTGTGACCTCTGTGTCCCTACGCATTATTCTTGCAACTCCATTCTTGATGAGTTCTCTATCATTTCTTCGACTCTGCTCTCAGTATTCCAATCTTCCTTCTGTTGTTTTATCCAAGTGGGAAATCAGGAGACAGCAATTGGAACGGTTACAAGAAAGTACACGGTTAATGGTCGTTAAAATTGAATTGACAAACGTAATTTTCCAGAGTTTAGAAAACGAGTATCAAAATTCTTTCATTTAGGCCAACTGCGTAAGGTTGTTCGCCGCCTTTTTTCGCTGCCCAATCGCTTTATTTTATTTCACCCGTCCGAGTACGGATAGTGTCAAACTATTAACGTTACAATAACCTTCAATGTAAAAATTGGTTCTAGATTTGCTTGTGGGCGGGATAGTACTGGGTTGCTCAAGTCTAATTCGATGAATTTTTCATTGATTTATAGCCGGACCCTTCCACCAGCAAAACCTGCCTTGCAAAGCGCCGGGGTGGCGCGTGATTACGCAATCCACTGTGGACCGGTGTACTATTACCCGGTTTAGAGTGCTCTCGGGTTCAAGGTGCCCAGCACGCCTCGCTAGCTCTTTGAGCCTATGACCATCCCAAGAACCGGGAAGGTGTCTCTTTTGTGCTTACGCTTCTTACTGGTTGATCAGAAATCAGAGTATTTTACCAACTACTAAACGGGAACTGCTCTAAAGGCGCACTCTATAGTCCTTTGGGGGGGGGGGCGGGGAGGCGATTCAGAAGACTACAATCACCCTCGGAGAGATTGGATAACCGTGAGGGTCTAGTGCGACGCATCGGCTTGAGGCAGTTATGGTGATTAGTCTTCAAGCATAGCATAAATAACTCTGACGAATACAAAATATTTGTTCTTCAGTAATGAAGTGTAAGGCAATACATTGAGAGTTAGAACGGCCTATCATGTCAATTTCATATGATTATAAAAATCAAAGTTCACGACTTGGTTTTAACGGCGTTGGTGGAGAATTTGGCACGCTCCCTTGCAAGATACCCTTAGCACGGGCACGAACATTAGTTAGGTGTTGAATCCCGAAGAGATCATTCTACCTTCAGACGACCCACACTATACGAGGCCAAATGAGAACAAATATACTGATTGGTCCAAGGAACATTAAGTTATTATGATTATGATTATTATTACTTACTTCCAACCTCTAAGGCTGACTGAATCATCTCACGAGCTTTCAGTCGAACCTCGTCTGTCGTGACGTGCATTTGAGCCGGGAAGTAACCTCGACTTGCTCCTGAGTTTGTAGTAATTGGTGCTGATGAAGCAGGGGCCGCCGAAGATACTTTAGGTGAGTCACTGGCATCACTCTTTTCTGTGCGCGATTTTTTCACATCCGATGCTCCTCCGTCATCAGATCCGACACCGTTGTTTGCATCTGGCGATCGTTTTGATCCAATGGTTGGAGTAGCCGACGATTCTATTTTATCTAGAAATAAAGATGTAAATATCGAATGAAAATATCACCATTAGACGAAACACAAGGAATATGCTTTGGCATATGATCGTTTGAACAATCGCGGGTACACTATGCTGTGAATAACACATGGAGCCTGATATAAAACTGGACGGTTTATATGGCGCAACTCAAGCACTTTACGCAACGTGAAGATCTGGTTCATACAACCGCGGCCTTGTCGGAATCCTGTTTGCTGTGTGCGAATATTTATCTCCATCAAGGATGCTGGGTGGAAAAGCATCAAAGAAGTTAAAACTTCTGTGATGGCCGGAACTTAACTCATTCCAAGATGGTTTGCACAATCGTTGCGTGATCTCTTCTTGAAGATCGGAACGATTACATCAGGAAAAGGGATACGTTCTTCCGACCAAATGGTGTGAAATAAACTAACAATCGAGTTGACGAGGATCACTCGTCAGCTTTAAAAGAATGGGGAGAATCCAATTAGGTACAGCTGTCTTCACTTTCCTCAACGGCTGAATATAGCTTCGTACTTCAAGTTCTGTTGGAGTCTGACAAGCTACCGTCCATGAAGCTTCTGCTGTAATCACTGGAATAATCGTACTAGCACTAGACCAGTTGAATTGTTCACTGAAATACTCTAACCGGGGATCAAGTCGTTGTTTTTTTACCGTGGACACTGTTAAATTTTATTGAAAATGGTTTCGCTGACCGGTTGGCGGTCTCCATGTAAGGCGGCGTCGTTTTTTGTGCAAGAAGTTGGTGCTTGACAGGAAGAGCTCCTGGTCAACGCAAAGTTGGAGTAGGCGTTCTCCGTTGTCAGTCCGCTAAGCTGGGATTGCATATGAACCATCAAGTAGCCTCTCTGATTCGTCCAAGGATGCCACTTGAGCACTGTCTCCGGCGACTAGCACGATGTCCGTTGACCGAGCACTGTGCAACAGATGAGAGAATTCCTTGTAGAATTCATCCTTCACTTCTGGCAAACTGCAATGTGTCGGTTCATACGCGGATACGACGAATCAGCATCGGCGCTTCTTTCTATGGCTGTTGAACCGTACTGAACCCTCCAAACGTACAGCGCGAATTCGGCTACTAAGGGGGATCTACTCGAGAAGTGAACGCTCGACCTTGACACTCAGCGCAGTCCCGACAGCAGCAATACCGCGAGCTTCGGATGCCGAATCATCTGACACACGGACAGTGAAGCGCTCGGATGAAGCTGGATTTGGAGATCGCAAGGTGATGGTTGAAGTAAGATCTTGTATGCGCGTTTCGGAGACACAACATACTTCTAAGTTGAACATTTTAAGGGTTCTAGCTAAGGCAGCTTGCTAACCGAACTGATAGTGTTCGGACGTTGAGTGCAGCTATTTGAAAAGGGAATTTTGTTTCCGAAACTCCGACAACTTCTGATTGGCTGGCCTTACTAGTTGAACGCAGAGTGATATCCCATGGGTGGTGCAAACTGGATCCAGCTTCTGAGATTTGGGAACTGGTCATATTGTGATGGAAGGCAGTTCAAAGAGAGTCCTGGCTAGCGACCGAAGCAAGAATGGGGCCCATCCGACCAGACGCGCAGACGCAGCGGCGGGAAGTGCCTCGCGAGACAATGTT